AGCTACAGAGATTGTTAGAGTAATTAAGTAATAGAACTCTAATTAAGAAGTTAAAGCATGAAATCGACCATTTTACTTTTCAAAAGTATTATTTCTTTACTAGTTTAATTATTATTTAAATTCTTGCAATTACTACACAAACAATAATAATAAATAAAGTATTTAAGTAAATTATACAACTTTTATAGTATAATTTAAGCTTAATATTTTTAATTTTATACTTTTTTATATACTGTCTTTAGTTTACGCGAGTAGTACACATTTAAATAAAACATTTTAACGGTTTAAAACGCGATATATTAGTTAAACTTATTTGGAAATGATTTTTAACTACGGCCCGACGTTTCGGATGTTTTGTCGAGCAGCTCCCCGTGGCCACGGCTTTATTTAAATACTTTTTTATGTTTTCTATCGACCTTCGGGAACCCGAATGGGTTTGTGATCCACCTTTTAGTAGTTTATTTGTATTGTGTTTTTTTTCATGTCAATAAAGAAATAATCTTACGACAACATAAATAGTATTTGGTTTACTAATAAACTTAAAGACTAATAGTTATTTTCGCCATATCTAAAAAGTAGTTCTAGCAACCATCAAAGTTTATTTGTGTAACAATAAAGAACTTTCTAGAAAACTTTTACGAAGGTAATAAAAATCAATTGACCATTACCTTGTTAAAATTCCAATAACATATCCAAAAGCGACCCACCAAGCCTTCTTTAACTTAACTAATTGCAGTTCTAAAGCTTAAGAGGTTTTAAGATAAAGACTTTATAGCACGAGTAACCTCTTGGGAATCGCCGACAGATTAACGTAAAAGTTTTTGAGCTCCTGGGGCTAAAACAACGAAAACAAAAGTAATTAAAAATGGACTCGTTATCCGATCTCTTCCAATATTGCATCGTGAGACGTAGCGTTCAATTTTGTTTTATGTTTATTGTTTGACTGTTCCTATTATCGTCAGTGATGGTTTTTACGATTTTCCGAATATCCAAAGCTAAATACATCGACAGCTCTATGTTTCTTTTATGATTGTGGTGGCCGGGCAAGAATGGGGTCCCTTAATGTAACATCTAAACAGGATGCCCTGTCGACCAATTTTGGCTTTGAATATCTACAGAATGAAACCGGATTGAAGTTGACGCCTTGTCATCTGTGGACAGTTGTTTGTGACCCGGCCGGAATTTCGATTCCTACCACCTATTTCCAAATTTTTATATCCAGAAGAAATCCAACATTAAAAAAAAAATAGAAATATGTTAGAGCCGGTGGTGATTGAACCCAAGACCTATTGTTACCCATTCATTGTTACCATTATACCAACGAGCAAGTAAAATATGGCAATTCAACTTAACAACGAGAAAGAATAATTGTCTACTTCAGCCATAGCCATCTAGATGTTTATGAACCAAAAAAGGCGGGAAATCCAATGCATCACACAATGATTTCCGTCTCCCCGTGACAACGGCTTTTGACCTCCGAAATGTCGGGCCGAAGTTAAAAATAATTTTCAAATAAGTTTAACTAATATATATCGCGTTTTAAACCGTTAAAGTGTTTTATTTAAATACCAATCATTTTCTTATTATTCTACAACGTATTCCAGTTCATGTATTTAAGGTATGTATTGTAATAAATCTTACAAAAATGATTTATAAGCTTCTTAATAAAATAATCGACAAAAATGTAATTATATAGTATATAAACTTATACCACTCACGAGTCATTGAATTAAAAGAGCTATTTTTAGTATTACGTGTATTATATAATAAATTACCATAAACCAGATATTATAAATCTCTATGGCAACCAAGTAAGGAAACTCGTAAAAGTAAATCTTGTTAAAACTCTACACTGGTTTTCAGTTTTCCAATTACGTTTTGTGAATATGTCGTAAAAGTTAACCCTACGTAGAAGAGGTTATCTCCGACACAGAATATTTGGAACAGTAGGAAAATTGCTTAAAAAAGAGATCAGGTTTCAAATAACATTAGGATTAAAAAAATATAGCCTAAAACCGTTTCTCGACTATTGAAATAGTTTTTAATCTTTATCTATGTCTATATATGTAATATGTTGGTTGTTTATATAATATAAAGGCCGTTATTGGCCTATAATATAAAGAACTTTATGTTAACGCCGATCTAATATTTTTTAACGTATTATTAAAAAAAACCCTAAGCATATAGTGAATTTAAACTCAAAAATTAAAAGGCCATTAGAAGCAATAAAAAATAACCGACTGTTATTTTATCTGTGGCCTAGACGAAGAGGCAATTAGCGGAGCCATAATTGAACTAGGCCCTTATCCCTGCGGCTTAGATCCGAAACCATTCATTAGAGAAATGTATATCGAACAGTTTTTATTCGGACCCCAAAAGTTTTTGTTATTAGCTATCAAAATGTATCTAATAGCAACATAGGGTAGTTGGATATTTTAAATTATATTTTTTATATGACATATTAAAACACTGAACAAGAGTAAGAACCAGAATAGTGTTTATGCACTTCGCGACTCATCTCATTTTATTTTCTACTGGTTATTTATGACTATAGACTAAAAAGCCCCATACTGAAAGTCTAAAAATGTGATATTATCCACTTAATATATATCTATCTGCTCTCAAGACCCGCGTTAGCTAGAGAGTTAAAATTTACAAAACATATTTCTTTCACTATAACAAGAGTACTAAAAGTAAAACAAAAGAAATATTTAAGGAGGATGAGAAAAGGACAGAGAAGCACTGTCAACCTATTTTATTGGATATTCGAAAATCTACAGATCGAAACCGAAATGCGATTCAATTTCACGGGTTCTTCATCTGCAGGCGGTGATTCGTGACTCAGACGGAATTTTGATTCATTAAATTTTATTTTATATCCTGATTTCCAGATGGAGTCCAACACGTATCAGAACATTTTTAAATTTATTAAAGGCCTATTGGACCCGGCGGGGATCGAATCCACGACCCGTTAATTACTACCCATACATTCTTACCATTAAACCAACGAGCCCGATGATATCAATAAATGGTAAAAGGTACTTAAGACACTGTCTATAGTTTACGCGACGAGGATGCTATGCATCAGTCGTGATCGAAACGTCGGGCCGAAGTTAAAAATCATTTTCAAATAAGTTTAACTATTATATCGAGTTTTAAACCGTTTTAAAAAGTGTTTTATTTAAAAGGTACTTAAGATTACAAAAGAAATTAAATGTATGTTCCTAATCAATTCGCGGAACCCATCGAACACAAGTTATACAATAACACGTGGAACATTGATCTACCCTCACAAAATTCGGCGTCTAATATTTCACCTGGCAGCGAAAGACCAGCTACATACGAAGAAGCAAATGTATGAGAATTGTAAGCAATAATTTACGGACCATAATTAGGTCGTTATTCAACGGAGAATATGATATTCATGAAGTGTTGAATAACTCCGCTTTTTACCGTTCCATTTGCGCTTATTATGCAGGGGCGTTGAAAATTGTGAACACCTTTTATGCGTATTACGCGCAATATGAAACTTATATAAAAGCTTTACAACTTAGAACGAAGTGCAACATAGCGGCCTTGTCCCTTAGAAGCGCTTTCTTCCATGCAATCCTAATTGGTTATTGCGTACATAGAGAGGATAGGATTTATATCTGTACTAATATTATAAAGCTAAAAAGTTTGTTTCTTTAACCGTGATATTCTCGGGAAATACTGGTTCGAATGGAATTTTGACTAAAAACACATGTAAGTCATGTGACAAGGATATGAGATTGACATTGACATTGATGACAAAATTTTGAAAAGAAACTTTTTTTACCTCTGTAAAAAAAAATAAAGCATGAAATTTGGTTGAGTCTCTTTTAATAAATAATTTCTTTCATGTCCAATAATTTTCAACGTAAAAGTTAAATTAATGAATCGTGTTGTGCTATATTTAAATTGTAGGAAATTTAAACCCATTTTTAAAACCAATTTATTTCTTAGGAAATGCGTTAAATTTGAGTCAAAAAAAATCGTGGAAAGAATAATTAAATACTTCAGTTTGTCCCACTTAATTGTGTACAGACGCCGACACTCCGTCCCTTTTCAATAATTGAAGAAACGAGGCAAGACTGCAAAGAAATGTACTTAACTAGGAAACTGCATTAACGGCTGCTCTTGTGAATTTAAGAGAAATTAAAAACATTTTACTTTATAAAACCAGTTAAATTATTATTCAATAACGCGAAATTGTATTTAGACATTTTCGAACGGTTGTCATCCTCTGTAATAAGCAATTGTGAGTAAATAACAGTATAAAATTTAAAATTTGAGAAAGAAGATTTTAAAATTTCTAGTCCCTACTAATTGCGTACATTGAAAAACGCCTAGTGATAGATCCGGGTTTACCCATTGGTTGCGGAACCCTAAAAATAAACCCCAAGAAGAGACCTAACCGCCCTTTTTCAGCTAGGCGTTAAAAAATTCTATTACAAAAAAGGTAAACTTTTCTTTTCTTTTATTTAAACAAAACAAATTTAATTATCTACCTGGATTAATAAATAAATTTGAAATAAAATCTAACGAAGAACGTCATAGAAATAATTGCCTCAATTAATTTTAATGAAGCTACGTATTTCGGCCTAAAATTCTGATAACACGGTATAATAAGATTATATTACTCCCTTAATCACATTATATTAGCTTTTGTATCATAAGATAACAGCAGTGGACATTTTAAATAAATATATATATAGCTACACTATGACGTCACATGTCCACAATCCACTAGGGTCCACCTTAAAGTGATTATAACGCCTTGTGCCCAGTACATTTACTGAAGACGCGACTCTGCCATCTAACCTCCTAAAAACTGTTAAATTATCTGTTATTTTAAATTCCTCGATTTATTAAAAATACTGCTGTTACAAATCCATTAGAATTGAAAAAATCGTTTTTGTATTAGGTCTGTGATTTGTCCGAATGTCCAAAGCAATAATCGTTCGACATCACTGGACTGATTATGCAAGGGAATCCCATGCGTCCATGTTCCTCTGTCCTAAAAAAACATTACGATCAAAAAATGCTCGACACAATTCAGAAATAGCTTGACGCGGGTAGGTAGTCGATTAGACCATTTGTCAACGGATATTTGAAGCCAGCACGCGTACGGTTGACGGATTTCCACTCATTTTTACAGCTACTATCAACTTGTTAGCTGAAAGACTTTTTACATACTGTCTGTAGTTTACGCGTATAGTACACATTTAAATAAGACACGTGAATGGTTTTAACGCGATATATATTATTTAAAGTAATTTTCAAATAAGTTTAACATATATACATATATTGCGTTTAAACCGTTAAAGTGTTTCATTGAGACTTTTTACGTATAAAAAATACGTATACTCTACATACCAGGAGTGTATTAAAATAGTATTTAGTTTTGAATACATCAATTTTAATTCAAAGTCATATTTACTATATCTAGATGTATATGGCAAAATAATATATTTATAAAAAGCGAAAAATTGTATTCTTCAGGCTGTTTTTTTTTTCAAAATTTATTTAATAAAGTACAATTGTATAATTATTGAACTATTAAAATTATTGAGTACACCAAAATACTTCATCTCTTTTAAATTTATGTCGATAATAAAAATAAAAACTCTAAATAACCAAATTAAAAGTTTAAATTTATAATACTTACATTTTCTATTAATAATATTTAATCATAATTACTCGCATATACAATATTATAAAATATATAGTTAAAAAACTTATTTCCATGTCACGGGCGGGACTCAACCCATGACCAACACCTATGTGACGGAAAATGTTTGACATAATTTTGATAATAGTACAATTTAATTTAGTCTTAGCGCAATAAAGCGCATTTTTATTTTCCTTCTATTGAATATCATATTTTTTGTTATTAGGCCACTCTGTCTCCAGCCGCTTCATATATCATTGATACGTCCTAGTTTGAAGCACTTGATCACAAAATGGTTGTAACTACTTTTTTAAACTTTTTAAAAATTATAACGATTCGTGTTGGTTGTGGTGGAAAATGTTAAAAATTGTTCCGGAGTCAACTTTCGAATCTTCGGAATCTTGAAAAATCTTCTTAACGTCATAGGTATCCGAGTTACATACGGGTCTTCGATTAAAAATTTACACGATCCATAGTCTAAAATTCGCCAAAACTCTGAAAAATAACACATACTTTTTTCATAGATTAAATTTTTATTTAAATATTGTGTAATGTTAATAATAAATTAATAGATATATAATTTTTGTCTCCCTTAATAATAAACAGTCAATCATTATGCGAATTAAAAATCGATTTTAGATTGAAATAGCAAATATTTTTAAAATCATTTTTTTTTTCGCGAGCGATGCAAGTATCAATAGATTCAAAGAATTCTACGATGACGTGTTGGACACGGTAGCTCAATTGATTTGAGCAACCGCACGAAACGTTGTAGATGCTAGCTCAAATCCTGCCTGTAACCTGTTTTCAATATAAAATCGAATTCTTAATTTACATGATGAAGTTTTGTTTTTTTTAAGGGAGGCCAAAATTAACCACTTACTCGACTTGCGTCGACAATTGTCAAAGTAGACCTCACAATAACTGTTTAATGTTATAAGACCCTCGTCCTTGTCCCAAAATTTATTGTAAGCACACACGGGCGTTGCTGCAACCCTGAAAAAGATGATTTCTTATGACAAAAGAGGACACGCAAGTTGACTCGCTGGAAGGTGAAAAACCCGAGCCATATATATTAATTGTAGTAACTAACACATACCAATATACGACTTAAGTCATATTTTTAATAACCCAACGAACACTCATTAGGTTGAATGAATAGTTTAATAGCTACTAATTAATTATTTAAATCATTTTCAAATAAGTTTAACTAATATATCGCGTTTTAAACCGTTAAAGTGTTTTATTTAAATATGTACTACTCGCGTAAACTATAGACAGTATTTAAAGAGAGAATTGATTTTTTATGATTTTTCCATCTGTTCTGTTTGTGTATAGTTTGATATTCATTCTAGACTGGTAGGAGAAATCAGCACAAAACGTTGTGATCATGGATTCCGCCCTGGAGATATCATATTGTAAAGACAATTCACATTTTAAAATGTTTTGATTTTTTTCATGCTCTCATGTTTTATAGTTTAAGAATGTTTACTAACTGCGTAATCATACACTTGGTGAAATCGTCGTGGCATTTATGAACTGCTTGTAGATTATCATATTGACTGTTGATATAGTTGAATTTCATAGTCGTGTAATTACCAACGTCGAGGTTCATTGCCGACTCGACATCTTCCTCAGCTATGTCCGTGTGGACATATTCCAGGAGTGTGGTGGTTTCTGAAACGACCAGAAATGACAAGCATGGAATTTCTAAATTCGGTCTCTTACAACTCTTTTAAACGTATCCTATAAATAATAAAAATATAAACTTTGATAATCATAAACCGAGAAATATTTATGATAGAATGATTCTTCTCACTCTCATTCTTCTAACAGAACCTTGACTATGACATTAGTAATAGCCTCGATTTTTAGACTTTTATTGCTTTGCCGTGGCGAAACGTAGTTAAAATGGATTGTAAATAAGTATGAATAATACATTTCCCGTTTTGAACTGTTAAAAATGTTTTTTTAATATTAATCTTGCAAACATCAAACCGACGTTTCCCGGATAAGTTAATTTTGCATAATAATAATTCAGTATTCACCAAGGACAATCGTTTCGTGGGTGTCTGCGTCCACATCCGAATCGGCAGCCATAATTCTGTGAATCGACAGGCCTAAAAACAATATTAAAATTGTACGGAACATTTTATTCGCTCAAACGTATTACTGAGAGAATTCTTTATAACTAAGGTGAAACGTTAAGTGTTTAAGACCTGTTTGATGTTTGCTTTGATATTCATTCAAACATTAATTTACGGCGTTAATGAACATGAAGCTGTAATTATTTTTGCTGCTTTAGCAAATTAATGGCATTTAATGGGGAAAATCTTGGATCCAAGATGAAAGTCGAGTCTTAACGTAAGATGGTGCGAGAACACAATTCGGTATCTGTTTAATGATCGGCTATTTACAGTGGATCAGATTGTGTGCCCTGCCCGATCGAAACTATCTATTGTTTCCCGAGGATTTGAACCCAGGACGTCTAGCACTAAACGCAATGCTAGGCAACACGTTTAACATTTCAACTACAGATGTACGTTTTTTGTTAACGAGTGTAAAAATTCCCATTTTTCCGATCAGCAACGTAGATTAATTAACCTAATGTGTAGTCATTCTAATAAACTTTTGTCCAAATCAGTTAAGTTACTTTTGGCCGTATATATTAGTTAAACTTATTTAAAAATCAATTAAGTTTTACCAATAAATGTAGCATTTTAAACCGTAAACTGTTTTATTTAAACGTACAAACATAACGGAAGTTGTGGCCGAAAAGGTGAGGGCGGCGTTTTTAACTATGTATTTCTAATTAATGCTCTAGTAAATAACTCACATTTTCCCAACATTATTTGAAATTCGTCCACTAAAGAAAAAATATAAGTTAATTCTGTCGTAATAAATACAGTCGTTAAAGATAACGTTTATCTTCAAAATGGCGAAGCCACGTGAACATGTAGCGTCTCATTTAAGCTTAAACGTCTTCCTATTTCCGTAGGGCTGCCACAACTGGATTTTTATTTAATGTATATTTCCTATATAGCTTCTAAAACACGGTGAAAAAACGCAAAAATAACGCTAACTAAAAAGTTGATAGTATATGAACATTTGAAAACTTTAATATTCTTCACATGTTATTGCATATGAAGGCACTATATAATTCAAAAATCGAAAATAAATTGAAAAAAATTTCGACTCGGGACGTGAACCAGCATCGTCAGCGTTCACACATGAAACAATAGCACGGACGCTGACGATGCCGGTTCAAGTTCTGCCCGAGTCGAAATTTTTTTTCAATTTATTTTCAATTTTTAAAATATATAAACATATAAACTACAACATGAGGCTGCTAGAGGCAGAATGGCCTAATTACAAAAAACACAATTTTTAATAAAGGAGGGATATAAAAATGCCCAATTAACTTAGGTGAAAATTAATTTAACTATTATTTGTATAAAAATTATGTTAACACTTTGCGGTCATGTACTCTTGTCGATTAACATTTTCAGACTACAAATGTATAAATTATTCAACTCAAAAAATGGTTAGGCTACTTTGCCTCTAGCGGCCTCATATAAGGTCTTTAATTGGTTAAGTAACTATCAGTTTCTTAAATTTGCTTTATTAGCATTTTTATTATATTGCTAATTAGACGAACAAAAATACATCACGAGATTTGTTTTTCATATTTGCTAGATATAAAAAAAGGTTTTGAACTTTTTTAATAGTATCGAGTGTCAACCCTATAATGTAATACTGAGTTCACCTTGTGCACCAAATAAGCAAACATTGTTGGAAACTCCTAAAATGTCAGAGAAATATGTGGCGATGCGACCAAAGTAAGAGTCTACTGTCTAGTTGAGGCACACTGATATCTAGTTCCTTTATTACAAGCAGTTCATTTGATCTCTAAGTTTCCGTAAAATCTGTTTGAAATAAAATTCTTCATACTTATATTAACCGAATCGGAAAGTCTATTCGACCAATATTTACGCCAATGGTTTTTTAAGAAATTATTTCAATTTTTTTATAGCATTATAATCTTACATTCCCCGTCTTTTATAATTATCTTGTCTTAACATTATAGATATTCATTTGTTCATTAACTTATTTACTGTTATTTACAATTACGACCCAAAGTGTGTGTCCTCGTAACCACTCCACCGTGGCAAAGGACGAAATACATCTGACCGTATCTTAAATTGAAATAAACCGAACATTTCACATTTTAAACAGTTAAAAGTGTTTAAAACGTGAAATTTTAGAGATTTTATAGCTAAATTCGATTCCTATTATAAATAATAATAAATATCTGTTTTACAACTTTTCCATTACTTTATTTTTTGCTACATAATACATTATTAATTTAGGATTAAATTGTGTATTTTTTATGTTTAATAATAAGTCTTAGTTTTAGTGTGGTTATAGTAATAGTAAACAAATTTATTTCTTTCTTTCTTTCATTAAATGATAAAAAACATTATGACTATTTTTGTTTGCTTTAATTTATATTCAAGTATACTTATCGTCTTAAACACATTGTTCGTAAAATCATTTTAACTGTGTCTATTATGATTCTAAAAATCGAAAATAAATTGAATAAATTTTCGACTCGGGCAGGACTTGAACCGGCATCGTCAGCGTTCCGTCCTTTGCTCTACCAATTAAGCTATCGAGTCCTACACCTCATTGTTGATTTTTTTTCAACTTACTGATACATGCACCAATCACGCAATGTAATTTTAACCTTAACAGTTGCCTATTTATTGTATCTATCGTTATTAAATGCTATAAAGCTAAATACAAATGAAAGATGCCCTCACACAGCTCATCGAGTTTCTATTGGAAATGAAATACATCACTCATTGTGACACTTTAATTCAATCCTCTGATGAGCCCATCAATAAATTAGATGCAACCACTCAAGCCCAAATTCATTATTAACTTTCAAAAGAGATTTGTCTGGGCCCTATCATATAGCTTCATGATCTTCGAATTAAGTCGTCTTAATTCAATTTTATTCGATGGCGTATGATCAAAGGAGGATACGAATTGTATTGTCTTTAGTTTACGCGAGTAGTGCGCTTTAGATTATCAATATGCAGCGGTGATGTCTATAATAATACCACTTTTAACGGTTTCAAACGCCAATACCGCACATTTTTTTAAATTACGACACGACGTTTGATTGCAGGGTGTCAATTTTTTTTTGTTTTTTTGGAGGAACGTGGTTTATATTTTTAATTATTTAACTCCACTTCAGTAATAATAAAACCACTTATAACGATTACAAACGCAAATACTTCTTAGTTTTTATTTTATTAGACGTTTGATCGCAGTGTCTCATAAGGTTTTTTTCATACCAACTTTGTTTATATCTTCATTCCTTAACTTAAAACGAAACGATTTATCAAATAATCTTAACGGGAGACCAGTATTTCCCTTTCCAGACGATTTCGGTGATATAAAAAGCTGTCAGGAGCCATTATAAAATATGTCCTCCGCGAGGTTAAGCCCGGAAATTATCCTGGCCTTTTCAGTTCCATACACGATTTTCCACTCACGTTTAAAAGATATAAATCTCGCTAAAAGGTGAGCTTAGCGTTTCATATTATTTTAACGGGAACGTACTTGGATGTAATATGAATTTAAGTTTTATGTTACGCTTTTATATATTTTACACCGAAACTATGTATCTTTAGTATACCCGTTTTCCCTGTTCGTTCGTTTTCTTCGTGAAGACACAACCACAGTTAGGAAAAATCAGTTATGACATAATTATCATGTTCATTCAATAAGCAGTATCTTCTATATTATTATTTTTTTTAAACTCGTTTTTCTCTCAAAAGAACAATGCCTATATTAAAATGCAAAACTTTCTTTACTTAAAAACTTATTTAATAATACTGATTATAATTAATTTACTTATTTTTACGTTACTGTAAGTATATAAAAAATTCTTAATATTATATAGCTTATGAGTTTGTTTGTTTAAGCGTGCTTATGACAAAAACATCTGGCTCGAATTGAATTTGTTTGTGTTTGTTGAACCAATTATTGAAGCAGTCTTATGATATAAAACTGCCAAAGGGAGCTAAGAAACACAACGAAAATGGAAAAAAGCGTTACAATTGTTCATCTTTGAGGGCTTCCGTAAATAAGCATACCTTAGAGTCATTGTTATATGATATATATGAAATATCTTTCAGGAATAGGTTTTAGGCTACAGTTTTTGTATAATTTAATGTCATTGCAATGCTCCAATTGAAAGTAACATCAACTGTCATCTGCACCGTAACACGCCAATCTCCGGGCTTCGACCACTTAACCGCGACGTTTTAGCCTTATTGCAAAACGCCTACTCCTATAAACCTTCCCTGTCGATCCTCCTATAAACTGTCCCGCATTTACTTGGAAAGCTTTACCATATTTTCCTGTAGAATAAGTAGATAAATATAATACTTACTGATTACTCTCCATTAAGCTTCGTCAATTTCTGAAAGATCATGAGACATATAAATTAAACATTCATTATAGTACTGCCTATAGTTTACGCGAGTAGTACACATTTAAATAAAACACTTTAACGGTTTAAAACGCGATATGTTAGTCTCCCCGTGACCACGGCTGCTGCAAAGCATCCGAAACGTCGGGCAGAAGTTAAAAATTATTTCCAAATAAGTTTAACTAATATATCGCGTTTTATACCCGTTAAAGTGTTTTATTTAAATTCATTATAGATTGCAACAAAAATACGACACGGGCAGAACTTGAACCGGTATCTACAGCGTTCCGTGCTGTTGCTCTAAAGTCGAATCAATTTAATTACCGAGTCCTACACCGTCGAATTTTTTTTACCCTTATTGATGCACCTCTCGCGCTATGTCAACCTTAACGTTTGCTTTTTAAAGTCAGCCATGCCATCATGTGAAAAATATTAAAATTTAAACAAGGCATTTCATTAATCCATCTAAATTGATTAAACTTTTGACCCAGCAGAAACCTTTTTTTTTGTTGGAGATAGATAGGAATTACACCGATATCCCGCTAGCTAGAATGTGGTACGGTCTAAAGGAGAGTCGTGCTTACCTAGAAGAAGT